TTGATAACAAAGAGATTGCGAACCTCCGAGACAAACGAAAATCGGGAAAAAGTTATTTCCAAAATTGGTGTCTTGCTGTTCCTCAGAGTTAACGTTCTCTTGCGCGTTGAAATCACCTCAGCGGTCTTGTCCCCCCCCCCACACACACACACAGAAGCCATTGACTAAGTGGTTTTGTAGTCCCCGCGATCGCCAGCTGTTTTATCTTACTATTAAGGAAAGCAAAAGAGATTATCCTGTTGCCTATTGTTTGCTGTCGGCCGTAAAAAAATAAATAAATAAATAAATAAGTCCGTTATTCAGTACATTTTTGGATTACTTGATATTCTCCTGACGTATCTAAAAAAGGGAGAGGTGAATCTACATTTTACAATTTAATGATGTATCTGTCTTTATTATCATTAGTATTCTTTTAATAACAGGATTATTCGTCAGTGATCATATCACCGAATGTAACAGTACAAGATGCCAATATAAAAAAAAAAAAACTCCGTGCCCAATCCTAACCTTTATGAAATGCTAGTTTTAAACGGTTTTAACGTCGTTGTTACTGTTTTAACTGTCTTGCTTTATGGGTCTCTCTTTCAATGTTCTTCTATTTTCTATTTTCTATTTCCTGCAGACTTTGTGTCTTTCTTTACCTTCACACTCTACTGGTATTTGCGTGTGCCTGTAGTTTTGCAGTTGTATCAAAATTTGGCATTAATGATGATTCATCATAAGGTTGCGGGTGATCCTATAGTTGCATCTTCTCAATTACATTATTGAATTTGATCGTATCACGTACCGATCTCGAAGCCAATCACCGTGCTAGAAAAGCAGCCATCAACGTATTTTGCTGAAGCTGCATGTTCCTAAATGAACGGAAAAAAAAGAAAAGAAAGACTTTTTATCTTAATCCTCCTGTTATATCCTGTAATGAAGAAGCCACAGCTCTTGGACACCAAATGTTGTAGAAGACTTAATAGACCGAAAGGAAAACCAGACATGATTCGGTGCGTCATTTGCTATTGTGGTCGTTTCGTTGAAACGTTGTGCACACGCTATGGCGTGAATATATTCCGTAATTTCAACCTTGAAACGGCGGATGACGTAATAGTGTAGTGAGTCAGTTTACTTATGGGCGTCTTCTGTACGTGCCATAAAAGTTAATCTAGTATTAAAGTTTAATTGAGATCTCTAGTGCGCATGCGCGTTGGCAGGGTCCAGGATCAACTTTTAATGCACCTCTGGACCAGGCCTTAATATTAAGCTCATTTTTTAATCATGCACATGCGCAGAAGCGATAAGTTCTTGAATAACTTGAATCGTCTTAGAATTTTCATACTTGGTATTTATTATGAAAATGAAATTGTATACATTTACATAAATGATCAAATATTCTGATAAAGGAAATAACTTATGGTAATGAATTTTAAAAAAACAATATAATTCCACGAGGAATCTTTGAAGTTCAGAGGCTGGGGGCATGGAACTCATATTTCCAGGTTAGTGAAACAAAAATCATATGGTCATGGTTACACAAGTTGACGTTTTAAATCAAATATGAACCAGTGTTTTAAAGAAGAATCATGTGCTGAGTTTTTTTTTTTTTTTTCAACTACTTTACTACAAAATTAACAAGTATACTTTTCTATGGACTTCTTGAACAGCATCCTGAAGAAAACATGTTTCCCTCCAACACGATTCAACGCAGCAAAGAGCTGTCCGAGGAAACTGCGCGATGGATATTAATTGGTGAATGTCATTTTTGTATTTGAGTGTTATTGAAATAAAGATTGGTTTTATAGTTGTTAGAGCAGTTTCCTTACCCATTTTACTACTACAAATAAAAGATCGTTATCATGAAAAAATAGAATCTTTCATAAATTATCATGTAATCATTAATGTATTTTGCCGAAGCTGCATGTTCCTAAATGAACAGAAAAAAAGAAAAGAAAGATCTTTTATCTTAATCCTCCTGTTATATCCTGTAATGAAGAAGCCACAGCTCTTGGACACCAAATGTTGTAGAAGACTTAATAGACCGAAAGGAAAACCAGACATAATTCGGTGCGTCATTTGCTATTGTGGTCGTTTCGTTGAAACGTTGTGCACACGTTATGGCGTGAATGCATTCCGTAATTTCAACCTTGAAACGGCGGATGACGTAATAGTGTAGTTGAGTCGATTTGCCTTCCCGTAAAAGATGTTGTGTGCGTGTTTTTTCCTTGTTTTATCCTTATCGTTGTCTTTTTATTCTTGGTATTTTTAAAGCTCCTTTTTATGAATGTTTTAAGTTCGAATCTTATGATCTTATCCATGGTTTTATATTAATGCCTTTTATTTTAATTGGTTTTACTTGATTTTATCATTCAGTTACGTTTTTAGCCTTTTTCATGTTCGTGTGTTTTACTGAGTGATTCAGTTTGATCTATATTTTAATTTTAAATGGTTCAGTAAACAGAGCAGTATTCAGACTTTTCATAATCTATTTCTAACATCACTGAGAACCATTGCCTAAGCAATCCCATTAAGCGATTACCCTTGTTTACGTCCACGACCTCACCGTTGGAACCTTGTTAGTTACCCTGTGAGTGCCTCATCCTCTGGGTGTACATTGCAAGACCCACTTTTTTCCTTCGCCGTTTTAAAAGTTAATTAGTGTTGTTTTGGGCTATAGGACTTAAGGGCGGAAATGAGTGAATGGAAAGTGTTTTGTTTTTATAGATACTGAATTTGTTTTACTGGACCGTTTTCTTTTTATGTTCAATTTTAGTTTTGTCATTTTGTGTTCAGTTTTAGCTTTGCCTTTTTGTGTTCAGTTTCAGCTTTGCCATTTAGTGTTCAATTTTAGTATTGTCATTTTATGTCCCAATTTTATTGTCATTTTAGGTTTTAATATTCCGTTTTAAAATTTTGCTTTGACAAACATTACCTTTGTTTAATTTGCCTTTGTTTTAACTTGTGTTCTTGTTTTATTTTTTAAAATCAGTTTTAATCAATAAATTGTTTTTTATTGTCAAGCCCCAGCCAGCCATATTTGCTATAGTTTTTATAACATACCAATAAAACGAATAAGCAGTTAGTATTAGTGAAACACCCCAATAGTTCGTCTCCCTTGGGTCGGGTATGGCAAGGTGTTTAAAGCAGATGATTGGCTTGAAATAATTGGTGTAACGACAGTATACCAGTGTCTACAAGTTATAGTGAAAAAATACAATGTATAGGCAAAGATCCCTGTGAAAGAAAACGTGAGAGACGTTAAAGAAACACTTGACTTTGATTTTAAAAGGGGTTATACGTTATAAGTTGGGTGATAGGAATCTAATATCCGTTTTGTATTGCTGTTTCCCTTTCTTTGTGTGTATTTTGTCATTTTTATTAATCTTTTAGCGTTTCTTAAAATACTTTCAGCCCATAACTTTGCAATATGTCTATTATTATCATTCTCGTGACTGTTGTCGATATAACTCTAATTGTTATCTGAATCATTTTTATCATCACTATCATTAGTGTTTTTTTTTTTTTTAATACAATAATTATGATTGTCAGTATTAGTATGATTACTTCTGTTATTATCATCACTATTGATATATATTATGATCATTGATTATTTTCATACTGTTGGTATTTCCTGAAATTTCATATCTCTAGAATATTTTCCTTGTAGCTATTATCAGTATGTTCATATTCATTATTAATGTTATAGACATTTATTTTCCAGCATCATATTCATCGTCATTATTTGCACGATCATTATATTCATCAGTATCATCAATACTTTGTTTCAGTATCAATATTAATTAGAAATGTTATCAGTTTTTCTACAATAATTGGTAGTCTTCATCGTTATCATGATGGTTATTCGAGCATCTATGGACAGGAAATAAAACATATATTTTTAATTTTGCCATTTTTATTTTTTTATCATGAACATGTCTTTTTTTTTTCTTCTTTTCTTTTTGTCTCTTTTTATACGGCTTTGCAGGATGATTTCTTTCTTATCTAAGATTATATTTACAATTATGTAAATATTAAATCTATAGGGATTATCATTAGAAATACTTTAAATTTAATCTGTAAAAATAAATAATTGAGTTAGATATCTTACAAATATTTTACATCTAATTACATAGAGAATATATATATGGAAATATATATTTGATTAAATAGGTGAGGCACATGTCAAAAGCAAAATGAGTCGCCCTTTGCATAAAATGTGGGTATTTTCTTTTTTCTTTTTTTGTATATTTTCTTGTTTATTGTATTTCAACTTTTTATCATATTACCCTTTGCAGTTTTATAATCCAAGTTCTAGGAGCAATCACATTTGAACTGCACTTTGTAATTATTTATTTTTAAATTTATATATTCATTTTTCAAGCTACAGGACACTTATTTCTTCCTTTTTTGAGGGGGGGGGGGGAATAAGGGAGTGTAGGGTGGTAGGGGGGTAGGGGGTCCAGAGTGGTTCAGAAGATTCTAGAAAATCGGTTTTCATTTTGGTTCTCGCCTGTTTTCTCAAGCCTAGTTCCATAAATAGCGGTTCAGCAAGAATGGTTCCCTTGGTATAAAGTGGAGTATTTGGGCGCCTGGTTTCTTGAAATCGGTTCTCTTCGCCTTATAAATCTGAGCCAGTAAGTCGGTTCTGGTTGACATGCAAACCCTGGTTCCACAGAATCAGATCTGGTTGGTCCATAATCCTTTGTTCCACAAATCGGTTCTGGTTGGACCACAGTTCCTGGTTCCAAAAAATCGATTGTGATGGATATAAAAACCCTATTTCTACGAATCGGTTCCGTTTGGTCTACAAGCCTTGGTTCCACAAATCGGTTCGGGTTGTCCACAGGATCGTGTTTCTCAGAACCGGTTCTCCTGGCGCTGCGGGGAATCCCCTAAACCCTCTCTCCACCTCCTGCGGTACACCTCTCCTGCCGGGGGTTCGCAGGCTCTGGTTCTTCCCGGACGTGACCGTGGTTCAAGTGACAGTTTCTGAAAAGTAGCATTTTGTTATCATCTTTACACTCCCTTTTTTTTTTTTTTTTTTTTTTTTTTTTTGGGGGGGGGATTTTATTTCTTAGTCAAAACAATACTTTGTTTTCCTTACAGCAACAGAAATGTCATTCAAAATAAAATAATGTGTATGTATGTGTTCGTATAAATATATGCATATATATATTTGCATATGTATATATATATATATGTATATATATATATATATATATATATATATATATATATAATGTATATACATTATGTATAGATATATTATATACATACATATATATATATATATATATATATATATATATATATATATATATATATATGTGTGTGTGTGTGTGTGTGTGTGTGTGTGTGTGTGTGTGTGTGTGTGTGTGTGTGTGTGTGTGTGTGTGTGTGTGTGTGTAAATATATGTATAAGCATATGTATATATGTATATGTATATGTATATGTATGTGTATATATATACATATACATATATATATATACCTGTATGTATATATGTATATACATAAATAATGATTATATTTATAATAATGATGATGGTGACGATCTATTATATAACAATTATATTGTTAAGAAACAGCAACAAAAACGATAAGGCTAATGATAAAATTAACAGCATCAACGACAACAACAACATAAATAATAAATAAATAATAAATAAATAAATAAATAAATAATAAACAAAAAAAAATAAGGAAGCCAACTCACCGTCCAGAGCGGAGTCCACGACTAGGCCTGATTTCCTTAGGCCTACTGGAGACTCCTCTGCATCACGTGATCATTGCACCATGTTGCAGAGGTTTGCAAGTACAGTTTTCGTGAAGTTGGTTCGCAATTCAGTGCATAGCGAGACTTTAGGTGCAATACACTAATGATGATAATGATAATGAGGAAGAAAGAGATGAAGAGAAACAATAGGGAAGAATGAGGTGTACGATAAAAGAGGAGGAGAGGGAGAGGAGGAAATAAATACAGGAGGAGTGGAAGAAGGAAAAACGGAAGAAGAGGGAGGAGAATGAGATTGGGGGGGGGGGGGAGAAAGGCGGGAGGTCGAGAAAGACAAGGTGGAGTGGAGGAGGTAGAAAAGAGAGAGAAAGAAGAGGAAGAACACAAAGTAGAAGAGGAGAAAGAAAGATAAGGGAAATACAAGAAGAGGAGAAAGAGAAAGTAGAGTAGGCGAGGAATTAAAACGAACAGGAAGTGGAAAAGGTGAAGGAGGAGGGAAATAAGCCAAAATAGAGAAAAGAAGATGAGGTGAATTATATTGATACTGAAAATCTCAAAAAGACAAACACGATGATTGTGATATCTGCAACAAGAACAACATTGCTGACAATAATTAACAATGACAATACTAGTTTATAAAAGACTAAAACGAAATAATGCAAACACAAAATTAAAGTATTCACGGTACAACAACTAATATTTCCAGTGATAATGATGACAGTAAAAAAAAAAAAAAAAAAAAAAAAAAAAAAAAAACACATAACTGAAAAAAAGGAAAATGATTTTCACATGCAAGCGGGAGGCATCAAAGCTTTTAGAGTCTTCTGTACTTTTTCCTACGTGTATAAAGCTTCTGCAATCAGCCATGCTTCACTTGTAAGCTTGAGCTCCGTGTTCTTAAGCTTCCTCGCCTCGCCAAGTTTTATAGGAAAAGGTTCACCACGTATGTTTTGTTTTCCTTTTTATCTTTCTCTTGTCCCTCCTGTTTCTTTCCGTTTTCTGGCCTTCTCTTCTTTTCTGTTTTTAATTCAAATGCCTGTGGGTGCCATAAGCTTTCGTCTTTAAGCTTCGCCACTCGGAAAAAAAGCTTCATAAGCAAAACTCGCTGCATTTGGTAAGCTTCACGAAGGTACTCCACAACCGTTGACCAATTACTAACCACAAGCCAACGGTGGTGGAGTTACCAACATGAAGTCTGACCATGAGGCACTCACTCTCGCGTCGTGGGTGTTCCAAGATGGCTGCCATGTGGGTCGGAGGGTGTTCCAAGATGGCGGATGCACAGGGTTGCCTGGATGTTCCAAAAGGGTGAATGGATGGGGGTTGGATGGGTGTTCCAAGGTCTAGATAGATGGTCTGTTTGGGTGGCAGTTGGATGCAGCTGTTCCCAGATGACGAGTGGATGGGTTTGTTTAGGTGTTCCATGATGAACAGGCGAATAGGGTTGTTCCTGGATGATGGGTGCAATGGGCTGTCTGTTCCAGGAAAGGAATATCAGGTGTTCCAATGAGTGAGTGCTTGGCAGGTCTTTTGTGAAGGATGGATGCCGTCGACTTCCTAAGATGACTCTCATGTGGGAGTTCTAGGATGACTGTTGGATGAACCATAAGGGTGTTGCAAGATGGATATCAGAAGGAACCTATTTCTGATCCAGGAAGAAATTTATCCATAAGGTTATCAAAAAGTAGCATGTGTAGGTTTCCCGAGGGAACCGCCATGGGTTCATACCTGTTCAAGTGTTCCATGATATTTGTCATGACTTCGTGTTCCCGTTTTCGTATTTCCAGATGACTGCTTAGAGATTCCTGTGTTCGGGTGTTCCAAGATGGCCGCCAAGAGACGCTCCTATCTGGGTGTTCCAAGATGGCCTCCTAAGACCTATTTACACGCGTGTTTTCCAAGATGGACGCCACGAAAATAAAACAAACGTTATCGAACAACCTCACGATGAACCTCAGCCTTATGTACGGTGTCATGCAAGTGTTCAGAAGCTGCATTTGAAGCGCTTGAGACCTTACTTTTTGAACAGGGACGATTTCCCGAACTGGAGGACGGTGAGAGTGAACTTTTGGTCCGTTTGAACTTACCGTCTTCTTCCTTTCCTTCTCTCTTTTCTTTCTTTCTTGGCATTGTGAAAAAACATTGAGTGTTTATGTTTCTATGAACATTTGTCTAAATTATTTAGCTTACCTGCTTGCAGAAGTTTGAATCTGACTGAGCAAATCATGCAAAACCGGTCACTGTGTCATGCAAAAATGTTATCGATTATAAATATATACACAAGAATTAGATCCGCTTCAAGTACAAGGTGGCAAGAAGAGATGAATGAGAGGAAATAAAGTCAGAAAAAAGCACTCGTGAAATATAAAGAATGTGTGAAGGTAGATAAGAATTTATCAAGAGTGAAAATGTTCGATAAAGAGAGAGAAAAAGGGAGAAAGAGAGGTGGGAGAAAGAGAGAAGGAGGGGGGGGGGGCAAGAAGTGAGAGTAAAGATGGAAAAAAAAGATACAGACAGGAAGAGAAATCAAAAGAGCATGGAGATGGAAGAGTTAGCGAAAGGACGAGAGAAGGAGAAAGAGAGAAAGAATGCGAGGATGTGAGACATACGTGCAGAACGAGAGAAATAATAATAAAAAAAAAAAACAGCGGAGGATATGGCAATTAAACAGAGAGACAGGCATAGAGAAGGAGAGGAACATATAGAGTTATAGAACGAGGCAGAGAGAAAGGATAAAAGAGAGACATTGTGAGATAAAGGAGAAAGAAAGAGAGGGAGAGAGCGTAATAATAAAAGAGCGAGGCAAGCAGACAGCAAAAGGAGGAGAGAGAAAGACAGACAGAAAGGAAATAGAGGTTGGGGATAACAGACAGAGGGAAAACGAAATAGAAGAAAATAATAGTTGTATGAAGGAGAGAGAGAAAGAGAAAGAGAAATAGAGAGAGAGAGAGATAGTGATGGAGAGAGAAAGATAAATATATATATACATATGTTAACGATATACTAAATTATTTCCTTAGTTCATTAACAGGCTTTTGAAACAGCTGATAAGTCGAAGGTGAAAATTGATAAGAAAAGGATAGAAGTAATTAAGAAAAAAAAAGTAAATGCTCACAAGAAGAGAAAAAATCAAAATGACAAAGAAATTGCCTTAAAATAAATAATATTTACAAAACAACTTCCAACTTTGAAAGAAAAAATACACTCTAAAACAATTAGTCTAAAAAGGAATACACAGCCAGTCTAACAAACGAGTTATGCAGCCAACAGAAAAGGAAATCTTCAACAGTATGAACGATTAAAAGAAGAAAGAATAAGGACCATCAAATTCCTTATCCAGTAAATCAGACATAAGAATTCAATAAAGCTTTAAGTAAAGTCTAATTAACGTTTTTATAATCGCTTCTTAATGGAGTTCAAACAGGTTAAATCAGGGTCAGGGTGTCGAGCTCCCGTCGTCGACCGCCTCCGCGAAGTTCTCCTGAAATATCGTTAAATATCTCTTCAATCCTTTTATAATTGATCTTTTATTGCTCAAGTCTTTTAACAGTAGTGTTTTATGGTGATGCTGAGTTTATCCTAATGCGTGCAGGAGACGAGAGTTTAATTTGAATATCCATTCAAAATCAGCCTTTCATTACCAAAGTGAAGTCCGTTTGGTTCGTAAATTAACGGTACAGATTCCTCTCGGCCAATCCGAGTTTCCTCACCTCATCAGCTGTCCAATCACAAGGCTTCTTTCTTTTTTAATGCCAGCCAATAGACGCCATCCTCTCATCCGTGACCAATCAGAATTCCTCGTCGCCGCAGCCAATGGCGTCGTTGTCATTCCGGCGCCGCGAGATCTGGAAGATTAAGGCTAATTTCAGTCGAGGAGAAGAATGGGAACGCCGAAGACATTTCTTTGTAAACTGATTTTGATTCAAGGAATTGATGCTTGGTGCTTCGATCTGTCATGAAAAGCTGAGATGTATTTTTTTTTTTTTTTTTTTTTTTCATCTTCTTGCAAGTTTAAAAAGAATAGAATGCTTCATATGGCGAGACGGAGAGAGAACAAAGTTAGCGTATATATTTTTTTCTTCTTCTTTTTTCCTTCATTTTTTTTTTTTTTTTCGTAAACCAAAGGTAAAAAGACACATACAAAAAACTGGGCGTTGCCCTTCACTGTCTGCGGAAACTGACACTGACACGACTTCGAGTCAATCCCACGTGTTCGGACGCCTTCACCATGAGCGATGCATGTGTTCGGACGCATCCCAGACGTAAAGCTCAAGGACAGACCTGCAAAAACAGACAAAAAGAAATGAAACAAAAAAAATATAAATGAGACGACATGTAATATAACGATAAAATTCTAATTAGGGTGGAGATGGAAAGGACAAAGAGGGAGAAGTAGTGCATGGGATGGAAGAAATCGAGGAAGGGAGAGAGACCAGGCATAATGACTAAACCACGTATAGGTCTCTCTCTCTCTTCTCTTTCTTCGGTCTCTCTCTTTCTCTCTCTCTCTCTCTTTCGTTCTCTCTCTTTCTCTTTCTTTCGTCTCTCTCTCTCTCTCTCTCTCTCTCTCTCTCTCCTCTCTCTCTCTCTCTCCTCTCCCTTCTCTCTCTCTCTCTCTCTCTCTCTCTCTCTCTCTCTCTCTCTCTCTCTCTCTCTCTCTCTCTCTCTCTCTCTCTCTCTCTCTCTCTCTCTCTCTCTCTCCTCCCTCTCCCTCTCCCTCTCCCTCTCCCTCTCCCTCTCCCTCTCCCTCTCTCTCTCTCTCTCTAGAATTTAGACAGAACATTCTTCTCGGCTTGTTTCTCATTCTCTGCCCCTTTATCCATTCCTTTCTCTCTCTCTCTCTGTCTATCTGTCTACCACCACTACATGTTCTGCAGAGAGCGGCACCTATCTCTCGTCCAACTGGCTGCAAGTGTTGGGATCAGTGAGCGGATCCACAATCATCGTCGACACATTTAGCTCACATTGATGCGAGATGAGTCGGCACTATTATCTGGTCTCTCTCTGTTTGCTTCTTTATCCCCGTCTCTCTCTCTCTTTCTCTGTCTCTCTCTCTCTCTCTCTCTCTCTCTCTCTCTCTCTCTCTCTCTCTCTCTTCTCTCTCTCTCTCTCTCTCTCTCTCTCTCTCTCTCTCTCTCTCTCTCTCTCTCTCTCTCTCTCTCTCTCTCTCTTTCTCTCCTCTCTCTCTCTCTCTCTCTCTCTCTCTCTCTTTCTTTCTTTCTCTCTCTCTCTCTCTCTCTCTCTCTCTCTCTCTCTCTCTCTCTCTCTCTCTCTCTCTCTCTCTCTCTCTCTCTCTCTCTCTCTCTCTATCTCTCTATCTATCTCTCTCTCTCTCCTCCTCTCTCTCTCTCTCTCTCTCTCTCTCTCTCTCTCTCTCTCTCTCTCTCTCTCTCTCTCTCTCTCTCTCTCTCTCTCTCTCTCTCTCTCTCTCTCTCTCTCTCTCTCTCTCTCTCTCTCTCTCTCTCTCTCGCTCTCTCTTTCTTCCTCAACTTTTTTTTTTTTTTTTTTTTTTTGGTAAAAAGTAGTTTCACCTGCTCATTATCTCTGTTTCTTTTGTCTGTTTTAAGGCTAATTCAAGTTTTAATTTAGATCTTCACTAAGCTTTGATATAAACTTATGACTATGATATATCTTTGTTATATCTACCTGTTCCATCATTTTCTTTATTTTTTTCTGTCTAACTGTCTGTGTATTTAACTAACTAGCAAGATAAGTTTATATGATTACCTATCTTAGTTTCCCTCTTTATTTGTTTGTTTGTTTTGAAGACTCTCTATCTACATCTCCATATTTGTCTGTCTGGCCTTGTTTTGTTTTTTTTTTTTTTATTTTTTTTATTGTGTAATGTGTGTGTGTGTGTGTGTGTGTTGTGTGTGTGTGATGTGTGTGTGTTGTGTGTGTGTGTGTGTGTGTGTGTGTGTGTGTGTGTGTGTGTGTGTGTGTGTAATAGTTTCCCCTTTTTACTTGTTATCAATCATTGCAATGGTGACACATTTTCAATATTTTTATAATTTACCAATGATATGAACTGACGGAAAACTGAAAACAGTATTAGCGGCAATAATGAAAATAATGAAAATGATAATAGTGATAGACTTATATTGCTCCAGCTACTGCTAATCTAACTGCTGTATAACTGTATAACTATCACCACTATAACTGTTACTACTACTACTATTGATGATTACGATGATAATAATGATCATGATGATAATGATGACAGTAGAAGTAATAATGATTATAATTGTAATAATAATAATAATGATGATAGCAATATTAGTAATGACAATAATAATAATAATAACGACAATGATGTTAATGATAATGATAATAAAATAAAAAATGATAATAACAATAATGATAATGATGGTATAATCATAGTGATAGTAATAATGATGGTACTACTGCTGCTACTAATAATAATGATAATAATGATAAAAATAATAAGGATGATGATGATAACAATGATAATGACAATATTAATGATGATAATAATAATGGCAACATTAATAATGATAACAATGATATATAAATTGATAATAGTAAATAATAATGATAATAATCGGTAATATTAATGATAATAATGATAACAATAACAAGATAATATGAATAATACGTTAGTAATAGGAACATTGACAGCAATGATAGTGATAATGAAAATTTATGATAGTAACTGTAGAAATGATGATAACATAATGATAATAATGATCAAAAAGATTACTGATAATGATCAGGATGATAATTGTAATAATGATAATAAAGGAATAACTAAACAAATAAGATGATGGTAATATATGAACGATAATATCAATGATAATCATAGTAATAATAATAATAATAATAATAATAATAATAATAATAATAAGTGATAATGACGGTATTAATAATAATAGTGATAATGATAATAATAATATTAATGATGATAATAATACTAAAGATGAAGAGGATAATGATAATGATAACATTAATGATAAGAAAATAAGAAAAGGTATAGTGATAATAACAGGAATGATAATGATATCGATAAAAATGATAAAAAAAATAACAAAAATGACAGTATATAATCACTATTATCATTGTCATTTTCTTATCACCATTATTACTATCATCATCATCATAATCACTAATACTGACAATTACAATACTACTACTACTAATGATAATAATGATAATGAGAATTATGATAATGCTCATTTTAATAATAATGCTGGTGATAATAATAATTGATATAGTAATAACAATAATGATAATGATGATGATTACCATTAATGATGATGATGATGATGATGATGATGATGATGATTATGATGATGATGATAATAATAATGATAATAATAATAACAACAACGCTAGTAATAATAATAGTAATAATAACAATAATGATAATAATCATGAAGATGCCAATGAAAATAATTATGAAAATAATAAGAATGACCAAAATAACAACGACAATGATTATTATCATAACGTTAACAACAATAACCATAATAATGCTAGCAATAATAACACTGATAATGACGGCGATAAGCATTCTAGTAAACATAATTACTATGATGGTTGTAATGATAATAGTAATAGTAATGATTAAAAAGATTACAACAGTAACACAATATAGCAAAAATAATAAAGATGATAATAATAATAATAAAAATAATGATAATAATAATAAGAAGAAATAACAATGGCACTTATGTTAATGATAACGAGACTGATGATAACAATGATGATAATATCAATGATAATGATACTAAAATTATTTCTATAAAGGCAATCGGCAACCACAACTTGCTCGTCCGAAAGTTGCCAATTATGATTTAAGGTTACCGAGATGCCACAAAAGAGTAAACAACATAGATTTCATCTTTTTATCGTTGTCTGTGTGTTTTTGTTTTTGTTTTTTTGCTTTGTTTTTTTGAGGGAGGTAGGATGGAGAGAGAGAGGAGGAAAGGAGAGATGAGAAGAAGGAGGGGAGGGAGAGAGAGAAGAGGAAGGGAAGGAGGGAGGGAGAGAGAGAGAAGGACGGAGATGGTGGGAGAGAGAGGAGGTAGGATGGAGAGAGAGGAGGGAAGGAGAGAGAGAGAAGGAGGGATGGAGGGAGAGAGAGAGAGGAGGAAGGGAAGGAGAGAGGAAGGAGAAAGGAGAGAGGAGGAGAGAGAGAAGGAGGAAGGGAGGGAGGGAGAGAGAGAGGAGGAAGGGATGGAGAGAGAGGAGGGAAGGAGGGAGGGAGAGAAGAAGGATGGGAAAGAGAGAGAGAGAGAGAAGAAGCAAGGGAGGGAGAGAGAGAGAGAAGAGGAAGGAGGGAGGGATGGAATGAGAGAGGGGGAATAGAGAGAGAGAGAGACAGACAGACAGACAGAGAGCAAGAAAAAGAGAGTGATTGAGAGACACAGACAGACAAAGAGAAAAAGGGAGACGGGGAGGAGGGCGAAAGTAAAAGAGAGAGAGAAGCGTCAAGAAAAGGGGAGCAGGAAAAGGAGAAGAAAGAGAGGAGAAAAAGAGAGAATGGAATACAGAAAGGAAGAACAAGAATGGAGAAAGAAGTGGAGGGAAAGAAGAGAAGAGGAGATTATTGAATAAAAACAAGAAAGAGAGAGAAAACATGGAAGATAAACGAGGCAGAGCAATAGGCAGGAAGGAAGGACAGAAAAGGAAACTGAAATAACGAAATGAGGAATAAAGAAAACAGGAAAATGGAATGGAATGGAATAAGCAAAATGGTAAATGAGAGAAAGAAGGAGACAGGAAGATAAATTACATATTGAGAAAAAAAAATATAAGGAGGAGGCGTATATGAGACAGACAGAGGGAAGAAGGGAGGGAGATAGAGAGAGAGAGAGATGAACAGAGAGAGAGAAAGAGAGAGAGAGATGAACAGAGAGAGAGATAGATGAACAGAGAGAGAAAGAGAGAGAGAGGATGAACAGAGAGAGATATAGATGACAAGAGAGAGAAAAGAAGAGAGAGAAAGAGAGAGAGAGAGAGAGAGAGAGAAAAGAGAGAGAGAGAGAGAGAGACTGGAATCGAAGGACAGGCCAGTAGAAAGAGAACAAGAGAGAGAGAGAAACGAAAGGCAGACATACACACAGAGTGGCAGACTGTTTCTCACAAGACAAAGACAGACACACCCAGACAGAGACAGACCGAGAATCAGTGATAGACTCTCTTAAGACCGAGATCCAAAACACAGACAGACAGAGACTGAAAGAAAGACAGACAAGCATTCAAACAGACAAATAGACAGACAGAGAAATCGAGAAATAGCAAGACAGACAGGTAAGCAG